ACGTCCTGGCGCCACGCAGCCTGATCCGGGCGGCGCGCAGGGAACAAAAGTCTCAGGGCTCGGACCGATCCTCTCTCGCAAAAACACACAAACACACAAACAAACAAACAAACAAAATGACGGTTCGGTTCGCTATTCCAGGAGTCTTGTTGACGTGGCTTCGGTGACTTGGAGATTGGCCCACTCGCCACGTCCTGCACACTTTGAGTTGTTTTTTTTTTACATGTAGATATGTATTTTTTTAAATTATTAAGCCTTTTCAAAGCCAAAGAAAAAAAAAGGAATTAATATAAGAAGATCGTATAAGCTCTTTGTGAACCGGAATGAAAGCTGTGACTGTGAGAATTCTGCTGAGCTGTAACAGCGATACTGTTTACAATCTGTGCTTCTGAACTTTTCCACGGAACACCAGCCCCGGGCTTGAGGAAACTGTGGTGCCTTGGTTTTTTTTTAATGTATGGAAAACCAGCTTTGATATTTCTAAAGGGACTTAGCAGCGAGTGTTGCATTTGTAGGTCAGGTGAACGAAAGAACTGATTGATACAGAGTTGGGGATTTTCAGATTTTTTTGACTGAAATGGGAAAATCTGTATGTATCCTTGCGTGTTCATAAATGCAGTATTACTCCATCGTGTAGTCAATATGTGACGAGAAAGCCATATTTTTCATATGCAAAGGAGAGCAACTTTTAAATGCTTACATTTCTTGTCTGGTATATGTTATTTAAAATAAAAATGTATTTTCATTTTGTACCTCCTGCTTTTGCTCACAGGTCTGAAAAGGGGAAAATATTACTAAGTGTAAAACTGTTTGCAGGTTTTTATGACAAATTTCCAATAACATGTAAGTCAGATAATTATGTGCAATATCAGCAATACATTCTTAGAACTTATTTTTCTGGTTTGACTCACTGTCTCAATGGACTGTAAAATGAGAATTCAAACGAACAACATTATCTGTTGCTATTAATGTATGCAAATGAGAATCATAAAGCAGGAGTAGATTAAAATAGTTCTTTTTATATTCACAGGGAGTGTAGATGTATTCTTGTATATGCAGACATAAGCACGATATATGTTGTTTTAGAAAACAACCACACAATGTCAGACTACCAACAGATCCTCCTTTTTAAAATAATAATAGAAGCATTTATTTTATTGCTCTGTGAAAAGACCGCAAGCTTGACTTTCATTAACTTTTTTATTTTAATGGTTGTGAAAAACGAGACTGGAGGGGTTCTCTATGGTGGGATTCAGGGCTGAGAGGAAGCAGAAAAGGAAAATCAGGTGCTGAAGTAAAATGCTCTGAAAGTTGTCCTCTTTTGGAACTCGTTTCAGGAAGTGTCATCTCTCACAAAAGTTGTGCAGTTCTGCCTCGAAATTAAATTTTTTTACTACTACTAGTGCCTCTTCACAACACAGCTATTAGTTATTCACACCAATGATAAAAAAAGGGGTGGAAAAAAAAAAAAAATCAAAACATTAAGTGGGTGTAATGTAGTGTAGTGAGGTGTAATGTAGTGTACATATAATAGTGATGTTAGAGTTGGACGAAGATTAGAGATGGAGTCAAGGTGAAACAGAACAGTTAGGCTTGTGTGACAGATACAGTGATAAACTGTTGTGTACAAGGAGCAAGCATATGGGTTATTTTTAACTCAGGAATGTTAGTTTAGGGGGAGTCTTTCTGTAATGTCATGCTGTTTAAACGCAGGAAAGGACAACATGCCCACAAGGAAAATGTAGCAAAATCAAGTTCAAGTCATATTTTCAAGTTCAAAGGTTTGTTGTGCTACTGAAGTCAAATTTCCATCATAACTCGGTAAATTTCCAAATGGAACCTGGGAAAGAGGAGATAATCCCATAACTCTATAAACCAGGGGCCGAGTGATGAAGCTGACTAAGTTAAGATGTAGCTCCAGTAGGAGGCTGCGTCAGCATGCGTAGGCTTCAGAGGAACGGGTACAGGTTTACTTCAAGCTGGAAAGAAAAGATTGCTTCACACCTGAAGAAGGCTCCACCGCCAAAACGTTGTGCCTCTTTTCTTTTTCCACGTGGAGCAAACATTTTCTTGCTCCTAAGTTAAGAGTTTCACGTGGAAACAAATATCACAGCGACGTGTGTGGTGTTCGTTTGAGCCTACATCCTGGTCTGCTTCCTCCGTACATGCAATTGCGTCGAAGTTCATTTTCTTTAATGCATGTGTAACACAGACGAAACTACACTGGGCATTGTGGGACCCTTAAGAGCCCGGGCAGCAGAAAGAAGGGCGCTTGTCGCCATCTTGCGGCCTCTACTTGAAAAGACGAGTGAGGCAGCGAGCGAAAGCGATCAGGCTGGCAGGTAGGGGTACTGAACTCCAGCCCAGCAGCCAGCCCCCCACCGGCCGCGCGCCGCCCCCGCCTCCCGCGCTCCTGTAGCGCGCGGCTGTGGCCCCGCCCCCCGGCGGAGGTCGCGGTGACGTAGAGGGCAGGGGGGCGGGGCGAGGCGAAAGTATGGCGGATGTGCATCGGTGAGTCGGGTCGGCCGGAGGGAGAGAGAGAGAGACGCAGCAGCAGCAGCAGCACAGTGAGTTGAGGACCCCGTTCTTACCTTTCCTTTTTCAGTTCGGGTTGGTGCGGAAGCCCAAGTAGCGGGGCTAGCCTGGGCCGCCTCCCGAGCCCCGGGGTGGGTCTGAACACCTGCACGGAGGATTACAGCTCGGTCCTCCAGCGCAGTTGCCGGATGAGAGGCCTGATTTATTTGCTGCTCTGGTAGAGGGAGGGGAGTTCTGTCCATCCAGCCCCGTACTACGAGTCTCTCCTTGTGTTAGCCTGCTCTTGCCGTGTTTGACAGTGAATAAACCTAAAGGAGTCTTGCCTGTCCTTACCCCCCAGGCTGTGAAATGGCGGCCCTGAGCGTATGTCGAGCTGCTTAGTGCTGTGGTGGCGTGCTTACAGCCCGTACCGGCTGGAGAAAACGCCAAGCAGAGCGATGGCGTTTGGTTTGTTGCTGGGTTTGGTTTTCAAACCTCCGTGCGGCTGTGTGGGAGCCGCTGGGCCCGGGGCTTGTTGTGGTGCACAAATGCGGAGGCCCGGCTGTTGACACGGATTGGAGTTTTCTCAAAGCGGCGCAGCCTGGAGGTTCAACACCGCTCAAAACAAAACAGACGCCCGCAGGAAGGCCGTTACCAGGTAGCGATTTCAAAGTCCGAAACCAGAAGCGGAGCCCTGTAACATTTTATGATGGGCCAGGATTCAGACTGACCCATAACTGTAGAGACGGCGAACGCCCTTTGCGCGTTTTGTTGGGGTGAATGAATGAGTGTTTTCGGTGCTCGGTTTTGTTTTGTTTTGTTTTTTAAAGGTCTCCGTATGCTGCGTGCGTGGGAGTGTTTTTGTAGTCCAGTTCGCCACAGATGCCGACGCCGTGTGAGTTTCGGAAACCGAAGCTGGGGCCGTAATTGTACAAACCGACTCGGAAGCATCTGTGCATCTCACGACAGCAGGCGTAACCGGCTCCTGTCCGGAGCTGGACCAGTCAGGGTGTGCAGAATGTTACTTTCATGGGTCAGTGCGGGGTTTTCGTCTGGTTCTCGGTGGTCTTTTGTTTGTGTGAACCCTCGAATTCGTGCGTTTTGGGCCTGAGTTATGGGATTGTCAGCAGATGCAATGCGGATGTTGATATTGTATGAGGTAGGTACCGTTCACTGAATAAACGGGCCTGCTTGTGTTCTGTAACCGGAAGTGTTACATATCTTCACCCCATTTCTAGTGACTCGATCAACTTGGGTTCCTTCGCGTTAACACCACTGCACTTTCTCAAACAATAAATAGATTGCAACGTATGGGGCAAAAAAAAAAACGCGTTATAATTGCCTGAAAAATATTTTGTGTTCTGGGAGAAGATGTGTTGCTGTACTAACTCACTTTGAAGCCAGCTGCTAGGGTACTCATTTCACCGGCCCGTCTGCTTGTATCAGGGAAAAATGGAAGTTTGCATTGAGTATGTCTTTGTTGCAAGCATTAAAGCACAAAGATTTGTAAGGCTGTCAGTAGTGGGTACCACAAAACGCAAATGTATTCAGTCTAATGGCATATTTGTCCAAACCTGCAGTGTTTGGAATTATTTGTGCTCCATTGATCTGCCTTCCTCTGTGCTAACAGGGGAGACCCTGTCAGTGTGTGCAGGCTCTTCTCAGCAGGAATCCCTGACCTGTCCTCCCTGCAGGACGTCTGCAGCTCCACTAGCTTCGAACGCTAAAAACCTGGGATGTCCAGCTTCAGGAGGTCAGTAGCCTTGTGTCTGAGAATTCTCTGACCCTCCTCGTCGTTAATTATACTGAGTCTTTCTGTGTGCTGCCTCCTTTTATAACGACTGACTGGGAGATTTCCAGAATCTTTGAGAAACTACTGGGTGTCCACTGAGCAGCACAGTGTGACGTTTATTTTTGCCATTTGCAGAAGGTAAATAAATCTGGACATTGTATCTTTAGAAAAATACCCAGTCACTGTGGACAGATATGGTTTGGCGATATCCACTACTGAACTGAAAGTTGTTGTCCCCCCCCCCCCCACAGTTCTGCAATAAACACTGAATGTGCACTTGCATCATTTCCATTTCAAGGCCAGCTCTGAGCTGTGTGCTGTGGGGGTAGGAATAAATTCGGAGCCAGCTGCAGTTGCTTTTGACTGTGGAGAGCCAATGTGCAGATTTTGTGACAGGAGACTGGAATGGAAGTTGGGAGATGCTGTAGTTAAGCACAGTTGCTCAGGGTGTCATGTAGCAAAGCTGCAGCATTGTGGAGCAGCAAACTGTACTGAAAGATGTAGAACTTGTTTTGCGTGGTTACATGAAACTAAGTGATGGAGATAAATTTGCCATTAAGGATCATTTTTATGGCTCCGTTGGTGCATTTTGATCAGAAGTAGCAGAATGCTGTTGTATTTGATACCATATTTTCTTGTTGGGCATTGTGAGCTTGTTTTTACAAGGCCTTTGTAAGTTTGTCACTGACACAGACAGAGCATGAACCTTCAAAACGTGAATAGAATTTTGAATAATGCCTGTGCTGGATTGACGCTCTTGAGTACATTCATAAAATATCTAGACTTAGTTTCTGACACATGCTTTTTCAGTTCATGCTAACTTGTACTACTTTGCCAAACAAATCATGTTCTGTATGCTGAGTGTTTTTGTGTTTTTATTGTCTTTTTCAAAGGGGGCTCATAGAGGATGTTTTAAATAGTGCTGCAGAACTACCCACCCTTTTTGCCACAAATGACAGTGGAAACATTTTTCTGTGCTCCTGGATTGCATGAAATGTAAAATAAAGGTGAATATTATTTAATAAAAATATGCGGTTAAATTGTGATGTATGTTTTGTTTTTTACTCATTAATGTGTATGTGACATCATGATGATTGTAAAAAAAACACCAAATAAAACAATTTGTCTAAATAGACAAAAAATACAACTGCAGCCAAGTCCTTGACTTAAATTTGTAATTGACCAAACATCGTTTGATTTTCAAGATTTCTTTTCCCCTTAAGTAACTTTTGAAAACCCCAGTAGTTAAAGGGCATCCTCTAGCACCCTTAGGAGCTAAAAAAAAAGAGTTCAGATCATCAACCCATCTGTTAGGTTAGTGAGGGTTTCAGTTATGTGGCAGAGCTCAGCTGGGTTGGGGGGAGGGGGACCCCAGACTTTTCAGTCTTTCCACTGGGGTGGGGTTTGTTTTCGCACTGTGGCAAAGTGTTTGAACAGCACCGTAGAAAACAAAACGATCGATTATGCTACTGCAGTCCAGGAATATGGGTCAAAAGTCTGGAGTCTTCTTGTTCAGTAATAGTGCAGAGCACTGCTCATTCTCCCTTGAGATACTGTTTCTGTCTGCACCAGCCCTCTTGCTTTGCAGGCAGTGTTTTACCGGGAATTAAGAAGGAACTTAATTTGACACTGGAACAAAATTACTCATACAGTTAAGATATACTTTAAATAGAGAGCTGCTGAAAAAGTAGTTAACTTCTTTAAATTAAGATGAGTGCTAGCTGGGGGGTCTGGAGCACCTAACATCACCAGCTGTGGAGATATGTCACTGTTTCGGGAAGATAGTTTTTTTTTTCAGTGAAGTTCCAGAACTGGTGCCTGAAAAACTAGCGATGATTGAAGAGGAGCAACGGGCTTCTTAGTGAATGTCAACAAGATTTACTGACTACACTTGAGTCTGACTGTGATGACGTGTGATTGATGGTCATTGTATTTGGCTTGCTACGCGTATCCACTGGAGTTTGTTTCTCAGTGTAATTCAGCGATGCACGGTTGTGATGCACAGTCGTCTACAGCTCCAAGTGTATCATACTGTTCTGTAATTCAGAATCAGCCTTCGGGGAATACAGTGATTAGTACAAAAACGTCAAGCTTCTCCAGCTTTAATTGCAGCTTTTTGGGGATCTGTTTGTTCAGTGGGCTGGATTTATTCAGGATCTTCGTCTCGTTGAGTAAACATCTTCATCGTTTGTAAACCCTCTTCTTTTACAGTTCGGACGCCCGTGGAACAGTGCGCATTGGTGAGCGCACACCCGCCCCCACCCCCCCCCGGACAAAAGTCCGCTTGGCTTTCCGCTCGCTGTCCTTGGGTGAGCCGCTCGCTGCCCCTGCCATGATGGGGCCCCGGCGGAAATCCACCAGGACGCTGAACTCAGGAGGACCGGCGGCCGACCCCCTCCGGCAGCAGGAGCCCAAGGACTACATCAACGAGCTCTCGCACGAAGTGCTCTGCCACATCTTCCGGTCAGCCCCGCGTCTACGCTTCAGAAAGCCACAGTACCTTTTGAAGGAGAACGGCGGTCCCAATTCCTCAGACCGGTTATTAAATAATTGGCAACAGAATACACGCGTTGACGTTATTGGTGGAAAATTCGACAAATTCCGAATTGAGCACAACATCGGGGATTTCACGAGAACGCCGCAGGTCGCCGCGTTGTCGTACACCTCTGGTCTCCCCACGGGCGAGAGCACGAATGGCGAGATTAATCGCGGCCCTTCCTGCTCACTAGCGATCGTCATGACTAATGTGGTGTATGAGGGAATTAGTACAGATTGTGCAGGAGATATTTCACCAGAGAAATGTTCCAAAATGTTCGGCATGTAGAGTTAAACTTGTCAGCAGGACCATCAAGAGCGATATTTCTATTGGATTGGATTCTTTCTAACTCCGAAAGACACAAATAGCATTGCAGTCCTCCATTAGCATCTTTTCCCTACATCCTCTGTTCATTCTTTGCCTTTTTATGTAGAAGAGAACTTGCAAAATCTATGCACTGCGATCATTAATCGGTGCTTTTTTTTAAGGGGGTTGTACAGTACAGACTTATTAGAGGGCTGTAATTGAAGCAGGGTCGAATGGAACTGGGAATGTCTCCAGGGAGGTGGTGTCATGCCGCGTTCTTCTCTCTGCGCAGGTACCTGCCAATGCAGGACATCATGTGTATGGAGTGCCTGTCTCGGAAACTGCGGGAGGCCGTGACCCTGTACCTGCGTGTGGTCAAGGTGGTTGACCTGTGCGCTGGGCGCTGGTGGGAGTACATGCCTTCAGGTAGGCAGGGAGAGTTTTCATGCTTCACCCACAAGTGCTGCCAGTGCCTACTTGGACGTTCTAGTCACTATAAGCAGCAATAGGCCTGTCAAAGGCTTAAAACATGCTAGTGTTTAACAGCTCTACTGTGAATGTAAACCTGGCTCTTCTGGAGTTGTAACCCATCACTGGTAAAAAGTATAAGACAATCATGTCTAAAATTCTTTAAATAAGCAATAAAAAATAAACCAAATGTTATTTCCAAGACTTTAAGACTTTAGAGTCTTGGAAACGATGGCATTTCTTTTTGTCAGGTTTCAATTTTTTTTTAAAAAGTTGGGGTTTCTTGGTTTTATCAGGAGTTTGTACTGCAAAGCTGCACAGAAGAAAGAACAAATAATATTTAAAAAGACATTTTGAAGTCTAAAGAGTCTGAGGGGTGTTGAGGAAGGCGACGGCCGGTCTGTTCTGATGGCCGATGTGGTTCGGTAGGGTTTACGGACTCCAGCTTCATGATGCTGCTGAAGAAGATGCCAGACCTGGAGCAGCTGTACGGGCTGCACCCCCGATACCTGGAGCGGCGAAGAGTCCGAGGGCACGAGGCCTTCAGCATCCCGGGAGTCCTGGAGGCCCTGCAGGCCTGTCCCAACCTGCTGGTGAGCCAGGGGAGCTGGAGTGGGGCCCCGGATCGTCACTTCTGTGTGCCTGGCTCAGGGAGTTGCCATGGAGAATGGGCAGCCACCAGTCCACTCGCAGGTTCAGGAGATCTATGGAAAGTCCTCCCCTCCCCAGAGTTGGTGGCGATTCGGTTCGGTCATGTGTGATATTCCAGCAAAAGTCAGGGTTCTGGAAAAGTGTCAATCTTGGCCGGTAACGTACACGATGACATAATTCCACAATCATTTAAAACTAGTTATAAACACATAATTTGTGTAATATGTTCAATAATTAAACAGCAGTCTAGAACAAAAAAATAGATACAAACTTTCAAGGTCTGAAACGGCTCACTAACGTCTTTTGGTGATGCCTTATGAGTCTCTGCGTCGCCTATTTATCTATCGTTCTTGAGAATATCCTGCATGCTGTTTTCCATAGAGTGATATAAGAGTGATCCTGGTCGTTTCACAGTGCGAGTGTGTCCCGTTCTCTTACCAGGGAGTAGAAACGTCTCACCTGGAGCTGGTGGAGGCCATCTGGAACTACATGCCTCAAGTTCACATCCTGGGGAAGTTTCGCAACCGGAATGGGGCTTTTCCCATCCCCCCTGAAAACAAGCTCACTATTCCCGTCGCGGCCAAAATCCAGACCCTGCACCTTGTTGGTATGTAAAGTGGGAGGGCTTGACTGGAAATGGGAGGGTTATTGACCTGGTCTGACTTTTTTTTTTAGTCACAGCTCACTGGTTTTGCAAGTAGCTTTTTCATGTCCTTTAAGATAGGCTACAGTCTGTGAATCTCGTCTTCTAGTTCTCGTCCGGTGAAGTCCCACGCAGAAAATCTCAAAATATTGTTTCCTCTAAATTGTATGTCCTGTTTTGAGTGCTGTGTTGAGTTCTTACTGTACAGCGTGTGCATACAATAGACGCAACACAGCAAGACGTTAAAATGAGAATATTCTCAAAAGTACTGCCTTGGAAAAAGTGCCAAAAACAAAGGCTTCAAACATCGTGAAGAAAACCTCTACACCAGAGCGAAAGTAGATGCTACAGTTCCAATAAAACCCGTGAGAGCAGTAATGGCAAAACAAGTCTGGTCATCTATTAACAGCGTTTTAAAGATTAGCTCAAGAGGAAGGTGCGTTGATTTTTTTGCATGGGGTTTTGCATCAGTGTTTTTCTACTCCGCTGTGCGTTAAAAATGAGTAAACTGATCCGAAACTGTGTTCATGTCTAGAGCACTGATATACGCGGCTAACAGCGTGTTGTGTGCTTTTGCCCTGCAGGTGTTAACGTTCCAGAGATCCCCTGCATCTCCATGCTGAGGCATCTCTACCTGAAGTGGGTCCGTCTCACAAAGCCCCAGCCTTTCAAAGACTTCCTCTGCGTCAGCCTGCGCACCTTCGTCATGAGGAACTGTGCAGGTGCCTCTCACTGCTGCTCTCTTTAAGCGTCCCCGTGTATCTCTGGATCTGAATTCATAGGGACCACAACAGAGCCTTAGAGGTCTGTAAACATCAGCTTTCAAAAGAGGTTTGATCGGGGAATTTCAAAATGTAATAAAGTAGTATCGAGTTTATTTTCTGGAAGGGAAATAGTAGGTGCTTCCAAGAAGGGTTTTGTGTGACAAAACCAAACTGTGCTGTAGATGCACCCTGGTAAAATCCTGCAGACTGAATGAGCCTGGTCTTAGATATGTGAACTGCTGTTACTTTGGCGAGCATGACGAGTCAGGAGATGACCTTCGTTAGGTCCTGACGTCTCCGTGATGTCCGGTTCCTGGCGTGATTTGTCCCGCGATGATGTGCTCGCAGGTCCCACAAACTCGCTGAAGTACGTGCCTCTGGTGACGGGCCTGGCGTCGGCGAGGAACCTGGAGCAGCTGGAGCTGGTGAGGGTGCCCTTTCTGGGGGGGCTGATCCAGCACGTGGTGGAGGACAGCTGGAGGTCAGGTAAGGGAGTGAGCGGGCGGGACCCAGAGGGGGCTTCTTGTGGTATAAGTTAAAGCTGACGCCAACCCAACATACAGGGGAGCTTTCCCTTGTGTCGCCTGGACTTACCACAGCGTTCTGTTCCAGGGGGGTTTCGCAATTTGCACACTATTGTGTTTGGTGCCTGCAAGAATGCACTAGAGGTTGACCTGGGCTACCTCATCATCACCGCGGCTCGCAGGTGAGGACGCTGTGGAGGGATAGGGGTGAGGGTGAGTCCCGTCTCGGCTTCGGTAGGTCTTTTTTTCCCCTGCACGTTCAACGCTTTTCAAACATTGTCTTTTTTTTTACATAAGAACATTCCCCCCCTCCCACCCCCCCCACTCAGTCTGCCTTTCCAAGTTCCTTGCGCTTCAAAAAAACAACAACATCCTGTTAGTGTGAGCCAGCTGACGCTGCCCATGTGGTGTTGCCTGATCTTAGTGTGAGAACAGTTCCCCTGTGTGTGGTTTTGTTTGTCACCCCCCTGTAATCTTGTGCACTGGAGCCAAGGTGATGGTCCCTGTTAAGAGTCCTAGGGATACCGGACACCACACCCTGTTGCACATACACAGCTTCCCTCATATATGACGTTGTAGTTCATTGAATCTCGATGGTGAAGGCACCTAGAACATTTTCCCCGTCTACTGTAGCTCTTTTGGTCACTAGTAGGTAATACTATAATCGTAGACAATATTTCAAATGAGTTCTTCACTAACATAATGTTCTAATTAATTTAAATTAAATTCCGTCATTTAAATTATACCTTTTAATTTGCCTTTTTTTTTCCATCTTTATATTGCTTTCCCGGTCTAGGAGATGAAAATGATAATGTCTACAAAAACGCCCCCACGTCTTTTTCATCAGTGAATTCTTCAAGCTCAGTGTTTGTGTTTGCTTCCTGTATGTAACACTCTGCCCAGTCCTGAATTCTGTCTAATTCTTCTAAATTTCTATTGCAGCTTCTGCAGTGTTTGGTACTCCTCCTATTTTGGCATTGTAGCTTCACTAATTTACTCAATGTGGCACAACCTAGAGCAGCGGTCCTTATACGGATTCCTGTGGTACACAGTCATTCGCAGTTTATCGTGAATGATATATTGTTTTTTTTGCTCTCTGAGTAACCAGGTTCCCTATCACAAGTACATATGGAAACAATACGGGACACCTATTAGTTATCTGTCTCAACACTAAAATAGATTGCATTGGATGAAATCTGAAAAGACCCCCGATATCTGTCTTTCAGACTGCATGAAGTTCGAATCCAGCCTTCCTTAACCAAAGATGGGGTGTTCTCTGCACTGAAAATGGCAGAACTGGAGTTCCCCCAGTTTGAAACATTGCACCTTGGCTACGTTGACGAATTCTTGTTGCAGTGTAAGTGCTTGTTCTTGGATGCCGCCTCTGGACGATGTACGATCCGCTACATTGGCTGCAGAGGGCAGAAAATGTCTATAGTTGGCCTCTTTTTATTCACTTGCAGGTAAAATGAGCCATTCTGACCTGGTGAAGTATGGCTTGGCAGATGTTATTGAGAACCCAGGCATCATCACTGACATAGGAATGAAAGCCGTCAATGAAGTCTTCTCCTCCATCAAGTATCTTGTCATCTACAACTGTCCTCATCTCCACAACCCTCACAATTGGATCACAGGTATTCCTACTCGCCCTACTGGATTCCAGTAGCTTCCCAGTACTGGAATCCTCTCTCTTAGGGGTCTTTCTCTTGGGCATGGTGCTCTGTGAGCTGGGATGCGCTCTGTAGGATATTTATGTGAACTTACGTAAAGCATTAATGCATGCATGTGTGTAGCTGCATCTGGATAGCAGAACAAAGCTTGATTTTAATATGCAAGTCTCCTTGCATGGCCATGAGTCAGTAGACAGATGAATCAAGTAGAAAAAAACACGTATATAAAACAAAATAAGGAATATTAAAAAATGTTTCTTCCATGGTTACTGTTTTACTTATGAATCGCGTTAACATGTTCCTTAATCTCATGTAAGATCAAATGTAATTCAACATGGTGGGGGCACAGCTAGGTCCAGGCAGGCGTCCTCCTTGGTGTCGTCACATATGTTTGTGTTGTCCCCTCAGATCACTCCCGCTGGAGCCGACTGGTGGACCTTACTCTAGTGCGTTGCCACGCCATCAAGCTGGAGTCTTTCAGCCAGTTCGTCGAATTGCTGCCCAGTCTGGAGTTCATCTCCCTGGACCAGATGTTTAGAGAGCCTCCCAAGGTAGGCTTCTCCCCTTGTCCGCTTTCTAGGCGGCCAGAAAGGCTGGGCGTTTCCAGGCGGGTTCACGTGCATTTGCACAACGCGGGTGAAGTCGTTTTTTAATATTGCGTTCACCCCTGTTCGTCGGGGTGAACAGGGGTCCACACACTCCCACCAGTGACCACCCCTTCAGCTCATTCAAACCCGCCTGATCACGATCTTCTCAACTTCTGAAGGTGACGGCTTTGAAGCTGTCGACAAAAAGAAGGTTTAGCCCAGTGGTCCTCAATTCTGGTCCTGGTGACACCCCCACACCTGCTGGATTTGGTTCCAGCCGAGCCCCCTGTGGCACAATCAAACCCTTCGTTGGCTTAATAATAAGATCGGCGTTGACTGTTTTTTTTTCCGGCTCTGCGGCTAAAAACACAAAGCAGATATTCCAATGAAGCGACGTCTTGGATCAGTCAAGGCTTCAATGATCTGATGAAGGAGGGGTGGAATGAAACCTTACAGTGTGTGGGTCACCAGCACCCGGTTCGGGGACCACTGGGTTGAAATGAAGAGGTTGAACCGGCGGAGAGGCCGGGGATCTTGAAGCCGTGAATCCCCGTACGATGTCGCCTCGCGCTTTCCTTTCACGCCGGTTGTCCTCGTTGTCTCCGGCAGGGCTGTGCCCGTGTGGGCCTGAGTGCGGGCACAGGGATCGGCGTGTCCTCCGCTCTCGTCAGCAACCAGAACTCCAACAACGACAACGACAACAACAACCATCAGAACAACAACAACGCCAACGCCCCCCCGCACCGCAACGAGAACGGGGAGGACGCGGGGGCAGCGGAGAGGGCCGCCCCCGAGCAGCGGATTAACGCTGGAGGTACGGCAGGCGCTATCGGGCTGTAACGCCAATTCTGACGCACACTACCACGGCAGTGCCTGGCCAGGACTGTCGGTCATTCATGTGCAAGAAACATTCCCCTTCCGCTGCTGCTTTTTTAATTTCCACGTCTTGAAGAGAACCAGGGAGTCTTAAGAAGAGCGTTATGGGTAGGCCTGCCTTCTCAAGGAGAAACTGTTTTCCTCTCCTGCTGATTTTATTATTACGAGAAATCTATTGACGGAAAGGTTAGGAAAACGGTTTCTCTTGAAGAGGTATTTATTGTGTGAGCCATCCTTTCTAAAAGAAAAAAACAGAAATGCTTAAATAAGTACACTTTCTTAGCTGCTAGCTCTTCTCGAGCTGGAGCTTCACCTTGCCGACTCTGTGTGTGACCGATGTGTTTAACTTTGTGTTCCACTCTTCTTTTCGCATCCTCTGTGCAGGGACCAGGCTCGCAGTAAATGTCACATGCCGTCATTCAGAAGTTTTCTTTTACG